TATGGCGCCGCACAACAAAAACGCATAAAAATACGTCAAGAAAATGAAAGGCGACAATTTATCAGGGCACATGTATTGCCAGATATTGCTAAAAATGTACATTTTGCTTGAGGGGCGCAAAATTGGACGACACTTATGTAAACATACATATGTGAACAAATATGTACATATGAAATAGCAATTTTTTTGTATCTATGTGTATATTACTGTTTTTGTATACGTCTCTTGTTAGCTTATTTACATTTATTCATTGTTTACTTAATCAGAATTTTAGCCATAGAATTGCTTTATTCATAAAAGTGGTAACAAATATCTGCAAGGGGATATAACATAATTATTAAGCTAAGCATCGTTCTACATTTAAGCGCTAAAAAATAACAATTTGCAGGTTATTTGACACTAAAATTGCGTCCAGACATACGTCCACTGGTTCTGTTCGGCCTGGAAGCGGAAGTTGATGCTTACAAAACACAGGTTCTCATTATCACACATTCGTTCATTTAGTGCAGCGCCGTCTTAATGAACCCAGTTTTATCGCTTCTTGCAGACTAAAGATGATCAAATAGCATCCTATCCTCTCTCTTACCCTTCGTCAGTCTCGTCTTTCTTCCCTTGATTGCCCTGTTTAAGTCACATTTCTGGATGATTTTTTCTTATTTCCACATAGCAACTTAAATTCGTATGTGTTGCAACAGACTCATAATTTTTTTACTACCAGCAACCGCCATCGGGCAACATTATCTTTGTTCCCCTTTTCGAGGATATTTCGGAAGCAAACGATGCGCAGCCTGTGCCTTGTTCATGCGGAATATTCGGTGCAATAATCGGGCAAAAAATCCGTGAATCTAAAAAGAAGGTAGAGAAATCTATTTTACTACAGATTAAGGAAATATGCACCAGGAAAGTAGTGAGTAACGGAATAAAGTGAACCGTGAAATGATTTCTGTGTCATGCATTTTGCGACGCCTTACAAATACTCTCTGGCAGGATATTCCGAAATTTACATTTTTCGTTTCTTCAGTCTGCTGTTTTCCTCTGTTGCCCGATGCCTCAGATCTACCGATTTCCTGAACATTTTGGATTTGGCTGAACTGCACTCAGCATTCTCAGCCCTAATGTAGCAACAGGTTTTTCTGAGCGCTAAAAGTGCACATTTAAATGTTCTGATGAATACGCACTGATCATATCTGAACTATTTTTGATTGTAGTTTGCACCTCGGCTGAGGCAGTGGGAACTGTTCCTCGCTGAAAGTATTCTGGATGATCAGGAAGAGGAGTTCAAATCAGTCTGTGCTATGTTTGCTGCTATTTTTGGAGGCTATGTTGCATGCTGCGACTGCTCACAGGTTTCTAGATCTCGATATTTTTATGATATTCAGAGCAGCCAAATGCTTGTCGACGGCGAGAAGCTCATGAAACAATATACCGTATAGGTGTGGCATTTGAGCTCTCTAATGAATGCGAAAAAAGTGGATAACAAATGAGATCTAACAAAAAGCATTAGTTTTCAAGTGCTAGTGTTTGAATCTGCTCAAGCTAGGATTTCATTTCCTCTTTGTACTTCACTGGACTAAACGACTTATAAGCATCTACAGGTACAGAAGGTGCGATATTGCTAAAATAGAACGTTTCGTCCTCAGATTCTGCTTCAGGAACTTATCTATACTCAGCAAATATATCTTTCCTGATTATTGAGAAATTGAAAACCTAATCAGCACGTTATTCTCGTAAAAAATGCCGGCTTGTAATTGATGGACAGTGATTGTTCGTACTGTAGATTAACTTCCTCTTGTTCCTCTACTCCCTTACTCGCTCTGTTCTCTTTCTCTTTTCTGTTCCTTTCGCATATCCATCTTGCAAATTAGTTATATGACTTATCAGCGCATGGCGGATAGGAGGCTGTACTGATGATTTCTGCTCCTACCTGCACGCAAAGTTCGACCTATGTTTACAGCTAAAGGATGAAACACAGATCGCATCCTAACATGCCTTCTTACACATGACACTTAGTCCAATCCCTTTTTCTACTATCCTATTATTTCACTGTCTGTGAGTAGCAAGGATGCTTGCTCTTCGCCGAGACAGTTGTGCTGTTTACTGGCATAAGCTGTTTTTTAACGCAACCGATGGATTTCTTGGTCAGATGTTACTACTCAGACTGGAAATCTGTCATCGAAACAGACGTACCAATCACCCGAAGAGAGCTTTGCGCAAGGGTAATTCAGGTTAGTGGAAAATGTACTGAGGCAAGTGACTACTGTTCGCCGACTGCATCCATTTCCGGCAATGCCATCCATCCACCGTCACTCTGGAAAGCAGCATCGTTTTGCTTCGATGACTATACAAATGTTCAGTTCACTGTGGCCAAAGAAGCAGCTGACGTCGAATTACCAAAATTTGGGCATTTATTTATATTAATGTTATACAATGTTCTTGTTATTCACTTTCAGCTATTTCCACGCGGTCCTCGGGAAGAAAAAACTTATCAGAGCGGCAGTTGCTGCAAAGTGAGGAAAAAAGAAGAATCTTGCTGCCAGAATATCTGCCGCCGTATTTTATCCCTCGATATAGCTCGTTATATCAATTCTGCTGCTCTATGCGCGCTCCTTGTTGCTTGGCCCGTGCAAGTAATCGTTTTTTATATTAAATTTTCATGTATAAAACGAATAATGGAAGTGAGCTAAGGTGATGCGCTATCTTGTTAGATTAGATCTAGGCGCACGCGGATGATAATATTAAAATGAGAGAGTCGTACATGGATGAGTACATACTCCTGAAGTCTCAGCTTTCTAGCTTTTCTGGTTCTTGAATTGAAAGTGGATGACAAAAACTGCAAGCACATATACAGACAGCCTCCTACCAAACGCATTTCTGCATTTGCGTGATATACAAAAACGCCTAAAAATCGTCTTCAATTTGATTAATTTTTATTCTTATTCTACATATTTTAGGAAACATCCCAGCGTTCCATGGCACTAAAGAACCGTTTGGCGACTGAGTTAAATAGGCTGGATGCGAAGTCACTGGCCGATGTATTGTCGCTACGACAACAAATTGAACAGATTTCGAGCGCCTGTAAAAATGATATGTCCTATGCATTTTAACTGCATTAGTCCGAAAAAGATATCATTATGTTTGCTAGGAATCCTGAAATCATACATTCTTTACGTGTATCAGCATATGTGACATATTTACAATATGAAACCATCGTTCACGTACGTCTGGATCCCACGCATGGGCACTGAATAAGTATGCAAATTTTGTTGTTTTTAAGTGATTTCGAGAACCAGGAAATTTAAAGATGAAATTTCGTGCTGATGTTCCCTGTCCATGTGTGAGCTAAAGATTTCAAATTCAGCTGTCACGCATGCCCACACCACACATACAGTCACGAAATCGTGCTGTCCTTGCAAATTGTCATGAACTAGTTGTTCATCTTTTTTATTCATCACAGTAAGATTGAATGACGAAAACTCTCAGTTTCGAAAACGAAACTACAAAATTTCCCTGCGTGTGTATCTCGCACACAGCAAACAACAAGAACAAAAGATGATAAAAAACATTTCAAAAAAAAACAAAAAATCCTGAAGTTGTATGGAGAATCATTACAACTTTTTGGTTATTTGGGTGGAAATTCAGGCATACGACACGTTTTAGCTGAGATCATGTCGCTTATATCCACAACCACTCCTCGATAGCGAACCTAAAAATTATGCACATTCGCTTTTATTAATAGTAAACTTTCTCTGCTCCAAAAATTTTGAAAATTTAGTATTTTTTTTGGAAATGAAAAAAAAATCATGACTTTTAAATCGGATAAAATGTTAAGGACACATAATAATTCGAATTTACTTTTAGTTATGCAAAAAAAAACACTGACTTCCATGAAAACAGAATCTGGAGAATCTTCGCAGTTCAGTCGGGTGGCAATTGGTTCACCTTGTACAACGTGCTGTCGCCCAAGCAATCGATCCCGATAACGCACGTTGTACAGCACCACCTCATAATCTAAATCAGCCCTAGTTTCATGGAAAATAACAATTATGGCTGGATAAATAGCTGTTTCTTTGAACAAATTATAAAACTATTGCTTTACATTTGGATAGCGTTATGGACAACAGATGTCTAATTACACTTTTGCAGTACCTTGCTCCATGCGCACTATTTTATTGTTAACAAGGATCTTGCTCGCTAAAAAAAGTGTTAGGTTTCTCATTTTATGTCTGTCAAAAAGCCAGAAAAGTCAAAATTTCCTCGGAAATCACTCTCTGTGAGGAGCGAATGCGCCCCTAGAACTAACTCAGGTGGTAAACGATTGCAAAGAGAACCATAGATCGGCAGGGCTACCGATGGCTCTTTTTTTAGAGGGTTGCTTGCATGTGTAACCGAGGAACAATACCTTCGTTTCAAAAACCCTCCTTATCATTATTACTCCCGTTGTTGGTCTCGGATTTTCATGAAGCAAAAAAGGCCGCTACCTATCATTTACCACCCGATCATCCGTCCGTCACCCGACCATCCAGCAATAGTCCTCTCTGGCCAACGTGTATGACATCGCCGCTAACAGCGATTCGGCGACCAACTAGCAACGATTGTACCCCGATCAAACAGCGATCAATTGTACACCGCGAAACGCTGATAACTTAAATCTACTGGGTCACACATACAAGCAAGCTGATGATTAGTTTAATTTCCAGCGTATGCCAGTACCAATTATTTGAAACAAGTAAACGAATGGTATAGAGATTGGTTGTCTCAAAAGGAGTTCCGCACCGCAGCATACGGAGCCACAAAAATCAAAACTGAGCACATGGTTGGCCTTGAATTCTTATATCAGTTTGAATTTTGCGTTAGACGTTATGAACCCGGACACAGAAAGCAGTAAAGGTTAATTTTAGGTGCATATTTGGTATGCTATCGGGAAAAATTTCTTTTTCTGATTTTGGAAACATGAATCTACCAAATCTGAGCTTAGGCTTTTGTCGTTTGATCCATTCACTGACAAAAACTGACAGAAGCCGAGTTCTACTGTATCAAGTAAATTCTACTTATGAAATTTTGAAAAAGTTTACCAGACCAAGCGCCGGTTCCGACAAGGACAACACCGTTGTTATCACATCCTGTGTAGACGCCTTGAATTGCATAGAGGCGACTTCTGCCGATCACCTCGGCATCGATCGGTGAATAGATGTCAGGAACACGCGATTCCTAAATATCACGAATCAACCTGAGCAGCGCTCTGCCGTAAATTCTATGTATTACTGGTGACGGGCACTAAGACAGGAAAAGGAAGATAATTCATTAATATCTGATTGTTCCTGAAAAAGCGGAAAATAAGAGGAGCCAGTACACTGATTTTTTATCGCAAATACAGAGGAATGAAGAGATGAGGGAGCGAAAAGCGAAACCCATTAAGATTAAAACTAAAAATATCTTGTATTGAGGGCTTTCTGAAGCCAGTAATCCTCAGTAATGGCAATCGAATCCGAGGTTGTGTGCAGGTGTAACAATATTAACTAAGAGGAGATATGGAGCATAGAATCGATGGACCTAGTATAGTTACATCCGAACCTGGCATGAAGAAAATCATAATCTTGCAATCTAGGGTTCGGTGCCAAAGCTCCCAACCCTAGATTGCAGGGTTATGATTCTATCTTGCTAAAAAGGAATAGTAAATTTGGTTATCTGTCTCTTCTAACATTGACAAAAATTTCATTTCGGCTCCGAGAATCTACAGTAATCCCGACCTGAACAAAATTTTTAATCGTCTGCAAAGTCTTAATTCACAGTTTGGATGGCACTCAACTTTGATCATAGTTAAATGAAAAAAAAAATAAACCTCTTCGTCATTTTTATCCTGTATTTTCGGACATTTTATATCCCATCCACGAACCCCGTTGTAACGACTGAAAACTTTGTAGTTAATCCAAATTCTCTGAACGATTTTTTCCCAAATTCTCTGGATTAAAAAAATCGAACACTTTTTGGCTTCAGATTCAAAAATACATTCGATGAAAAACTGTTTCAGTTTGAAATTCAGTTTGTCCTACTAAGTGAGACGCAGATGTGCGTGTTAAGGTTGATTTTAGTTTGGGGATGTCCCCACAGAATTTCAGCTTCCAAACTTATCTAGTTACTGGTACAAAATGGAAAATAACACCATCCTAATTTAACTTTTGCCTGCACGTACGCGAGATCTCGACTTACCACAAAGCTGAGTACAAAATTTTTAAGCTGCTCTTAAAATAACGCAACTCTAAAATTTTTAGCTCTCTAACTTGATCGTTCCCGAAATCGTCTCCCTTTAAAAACATCTTTTGAGTGTTTGTGTGTGTAGAATTGAAATGTTGAAAAACTGAAGTTGAGAACTTTGATCTTGTAAAGACATGTAGCGTCCTATTTTGTTTGATTCTCAGAAAAGTTTTTCCCACTAGACTTTTCCAATTTGTCCTGCCAAGTGAGACACAGATGCGCGTGTTCAGGTTGATCTTAGGGATATCCCCACAGAATTTCAACTTCCAAATTTACCTTGTCACCGGTACAAAATAGGGACAAATTTCGAGCACACACGACTTTCGGACAAAAAGCGTTTTTGGGTTTCGTCAATGAAACAAATTCATATAGAAATGGTTTTAAAATGTGGGCAAACCTGTCATGTTTGAATGGTTTTCCCAACAATTCATTTTTGGGGTTTGATTCGCAAATTTGCCCAGTGCACATACCTAAAAATACACACGATATTTATGCACATTTTTATTCTGAAAGTCTTAAGCGTGGACTTTTTGCCGGAAAAGTTGAATCTGTAAGTTTGATTTTATATTTTTGTAAAAACAATGATGTCCAGTTTTTTGCTCAGGATGAATGGACTTGTAAAAGATGTTTACTTGCAATCTTACATAATTAAAAGTACAAAAGGAAAAGTTATCCCTTTACTGAAGTTTTTATACTACACAATTTAAGTAAGAGTCTACGTGCTACTTTGTGCAGAATAAATTCGTTCACAAGCATGTGTCTAACAAAAAGATTTGGATCT